GTTGACCCCTTCGGGGGCGTCCCACCACCATTTCAGGTTGAGGCTAGAGCTTGCTTCTTGTGCTCGTTGCTCGAGTGATCATCTTGGAGAGAAGACTTGGTTCGTGCTTTCTCCATTCTGTTTTGAACACTAATAAACATACTCATGGATATTTTCACTATAGAGCCTGCGTGCTCATGTTGGCCCCATGTGGCATTTGTTTTAAACTATGTTTTCCGCTGCGTATTGAATTGCTTATTATGTATGTTTATGGATGACTTATGTGTGAATGATATTCGAGACGCCTTATATAATATGGGTGAGTTAGACTGCGGTTGACTATTCATATTGTACGGCGGATTGTCGACGTGTCCGGATAGGTCCGGGACGTGACATGCCTACTAGTCTTCAGTTTGCGGATATATTTACTAAGAGTGTTTCTAGTCAGCAAGTTCATTTTTTAAAAGATAACATGCGTGCTGCATCTCATGCACAGTTTGAAGGGGTGTAATAGCATAATATTAAATTAGGAATAATTATAATTTTCCAAACTCTCATATATCTGCCAGGAGTCCTATTGGAGAATTCTTTCCCATTATTCACATATGGTTGAGACGTTGACGACACTGAAGTTGTGTGCACCTCAAAACAAATCAATATTTAACACTCATACGTAATTTAATGAAGTAAGGTTCAGGTCCACATGGAAACAAATGATTTTCTTTTATGAAATTGTAACTAGAAAGGAGGTTTTAAGATTGTTTTGATTTAATAAATTAAACACTAAGATGAACGACTTATGTGATTAAGAATAATGAGATTTTAAGACTTCACTTTGCTTCTTTCCATTACTTGTTGAGATGTTTGTTGATCCTTGATATATCTTTAACGTATCCCATCTCGAATACTCAATCGAGGAGTATATCCAAGTCATCACAGGTAGTTATTAATAACAAGAGCGATCATTAACAACTCTTACTATTAGCCAAATATAGAACACCGTCATATGCCGACTTAATAGTAGCATTTAATCTCTTAACTCCTTGATGAAATCAATTGAGATTGATAAACTCAACACAACGGTTTCGATTTAACTAGCATAATTAATTCCTTTTAAGATTACTAACAATGAGACCATGCATTAATAATTCGAAGTGACTTGTGAAACCATCAATGATTAACCATCGGTTCATTGATCATTTGTAGTGGTAATTAATGTCAAAATGTTAACTAATTGTCACTTAGCAACACCCCAACATTAATATAGATATAGGATTAAGGGAAGAATTAATATTCAAGAGATCATAAGAAGTTAAGAAAATTACTCACAATTTAAACATTCAACAAGCTTTAAGAGCAAAACGAAGAAGAATGAGTTTAGCTCCTCTTATGGAGACCAAACATGTTAGAAAATGTAAGAAAATACTACTGTAAAGTTTGCTTAAGTGTATGGAAGTAGAGATGAATAAATGTGAAAGAAGTGATTTGTGTATGTGTTTCAGCTGCATTAGCCAGATACTTGACCAAGTATAGGTGCTACCACCGCGTAGGAGATTTGATCATCGAATCAAACTGAAGAATGAACGTTGCACTGTTAATGTAGCCCCTTATCATTATGCCCACTTCCAAAAAGCCGAAATTGAACGACAAGTCACAGAGATGCTACAGTTTGGGTTGATCCAACCAAGTACAAGCCCTTTTTCTTCACCGGTTTTGATTGTAAGGAAAAAGGACGGAACTTGGAGGTTTTGTACTGACTATCGGGCACTCAATAAGGAAACTGTTAAGGACAGATTTCCAATTCTGACTATTGATGATATGCTTGATGAATTACATGGAGCCAATTATTTCTCAAAACTAGATTTGTGGGCAGGTTATCATCAGATCCGTGTTCATCCCGATGACATCCACAAGACTGCTTTCCGAACACATAATGGTCATTATGAGTACTTAGTCATGCCATTTGGACTTTGTAACGATCCATCAACCTTTCAGGCTGCCATGAATGAAATATTCAGACCGTATTTGCGTGAATTTATCCTGGTTTTCTTTGATGACATTCTCGCCTATAGTAAAACGTGGGCTGCTCACCTTGATCATCTTCGACCGACCCTACAGATTCTCCAGGAGCACTGTTTTCACATAAAACCAAGTAAATGTTTCTTTGCGCTCACAGAGGTTGAATATTTAGGCCATTACATATCTAATGAAGGTGTACGAGTAGATCCAAAAAAAATTGAGGCCATGTGTCAGTGACCGAGACCAACATCCATCACTGCCTTGCGCGGATTTCTAGGGCTAACCGGCTATTATCGCAAATTTGTGCGTGAATATGGATTGATAGCTCGACCGCTAACTCAACTTCTAAAGAAGGGGCAGTTTTCCTGGAGCCCAGAAGCTACATAAGCTTTTGAAAATCTTAAAAAGGCCGTCTCCACAACTCCAGTACTAGCTCTACCAGATTTTACAAAGGAATTCTGCATCGAGACAGACGCGTCGGGACAAGGAATAGGAGCAGTTTTGTCACAAGAAAGGCGGCCCATAGCATTCATGAGTAAGGTGTTGGGACCATCAAAACAAGCATGGTCCACTTATGCCAAAGAGATGTTGGCAGTTCTTGAAGCCGTTCGAATATGGAGGACATATCTTTTGGGACGGCGATTTATCATATATACTGATCAAAAGAGTCTTCGACATCTCGTTGAGCAACGTATCATGACCCCTGAACAACAAAAGTGGATAACTAAGCTCTTGGGATTTGATTATGAAATCATATATAAACCTGGAGCCACCAATAAAGTTGCAGATGCCTTGTCTCGGCGGGAGCATCCTGAAAATGGGACAGAACTTACAGCTATATCAGGACCCTTGTGGGAGGTTTGGAACGAAATACGAACGCTAACTCAAGAAGACACTCGCTTGCAAGAAATTCATTCAAAAATATTAAACAAAGAGGTTGAAGTGGCAGGTTATGAAGTTCGGAATGAGTGCATTTTATTTCAGGGGAAGGTTCTTGATGAAACGGTTAGCAACACAAGAGGGGGGGGTGAATTGTGTGTGTGTGGAACCGTGACAGTTTTTCGCACAGTTCTAGTGTGGGGTTCAGGGATTTACGAAATAATAAAGTGCACAGGATTTAACGAGGAAAAATCCCTTGGCTCAAAGGGATTAAAAAACCTCGACCTCCCTCGGAGGAATTTGAACAACTTCACTAAAAAGCCTTTGAATGATTACAAGGGAAACTCTCCTAGTCTACCCTTGAGCCACCCCAACTCTATCCTCTCTAGGAAGAGTTATGCTTCTCTACCTTGTGGGTAGAGAGCCTCTCAGCTTTACAACAAAGCTCTCACAACACACTAACTGACCCGAGGATGCTACACTTAGTCAATCCTCAAAAACCCAATTACAATATGAAGAAAGGAAAAGGAAACTCTGTTTGGAACTCCGTGAGCAGGTTCTGGTGCCTTGGACTTAGTAGATTTTCTTGTGTATATTTCTCAATAGAAGCTTGGTCAAGCACACTCTTTCGTCTGGTCCTTTGTCCAATATATATAGCATCCGTAGCCTCTTCTTTCCTTTTATTCAAAGATCTTCCGGCTCACAATTATGGTGATCCTCGGTCAACCATATATATATATGGAAGTATATTATGAGTAAATCACTCAATAACAAAACAGATATGGAGAATATTACGTATCACATATAAGGAGAATATTTTATTCTCCTAATATAAGCATCCAACGGACATTATGTAGCAACAACATATTTATATAATCAATGATTAGTTCTCTTTAACAAGTTTGAATATGTAACGATCATATAAGTAGGATATTCAAATAAGGTGCTACAGATCATGCAACCCAAGATACTTTCCAAAATTTATCTTTTAATATAATGACTTTTTAACATTAAGTGATAAGGAAATATTTACTTAGTGGATCTAAATATGCTACGGTCAATTTGTGCAGGATATTTATGTAGCATAAATAATGATTCTTTCCATAAGCTATATAGGCCAACTCATAGAGGTGAGTGCTTAGTCATGTACGGAAAGATATTTAAATTGTGCCACGTACATTAAGAATATGCATGATCAATCTAGGCATGTAGATGAGGTATTATCATGCAGGCACATATTAATTTATTCATTATGCACAACAATCAGTCATATAGATCAGAACTAAGTATAGTTCCAATTCTCGTTCCTAATGGAACTGAGAGCAGTTCTGTCCGCCATTCCACCTACATGGTTAGTCATCAACAAAACAACATATTCAACAGTTCTCATACCAGGAAACCAGTCCTTGAGAACGAAGCTAATACATGAATTTCATAACACTCCGACCGGAGGACACTCCGGAATGTTACGAACTTTTAATCGTCTAAATCAAATATTTACTTGGCCAGGCATGCGAGGAGCAGTTTCTCAATATGTTCACGAGTGTGAAGTATGTCAACGCGCCAAGATCAGCTCTCTTGCACCTGCAAGACTACTGTCCTCATTACCGATTCCTACTGCGGTTTGGGCAGATGTCACTATGGATTTCATAGAAGGATTGCCAACGTCAGGAGGTAAAAACTCAATTTTTGTCATTGTTGATCGATTTACGAAATATGTCCATTTTGCAGCTTTAGCGCACCCGTTTACTGCAAAAGATGTGGCTGCCACATTCATACAGGAGGTTGTTAGATTGCATGGATTCCCAGAATCCATCGTAAGCGACAGGGATCGTGTGTTTATGAGTCTTTTCTGGAAAGAATTGTTTCGATTGCAAGGCACAACGTTAAAAACAAGTTCGGCCTATCACCCTGAGACCGACGGACAAACAGAAGTTGTCAATCGGTGTTTGGCTCAATATTTATGTTGCTTCGCTCACCAAGTCCCTCGAAAGTGGAGTGGACTCCTCGTGTGGGCAGAATTCTGGTATAATACAACCTACCATAGCTCCATAAAAATGACCCCGTTTGAAGCGTTATACGGAAGACCCTCACCAATGCTTCGGTCATATAACATAGGGCAATCACCAATATCTGAGGTCGATAAACAAATGCGGACCAGGGATGAGGTAATACGCATACTGCAAGAAAATTTGGTAATGGCTTCCAACAGAATGAAACAACTGGCAGACACGGGTAGACGTGAAGTGCATTTTGCTGTTGGCGACCTTGTTTATTTAAAGCTTCGCCCATTTCGCCAACATTCTGTTTTTCGTAGGGCAAACCAAAAGCTAGCATGCAAGTTCTTCGGCCCATATAAAGTCTTGGAAAAAATAGGAGATGTCGCTTACAAGCTTGAGTTGCCAGAAAGTGCTCGTATTCATCCTGTATTTCATGTATCACTCCTTAAAAGGCATGTGGGACCAACAACATCAATAACAACATTACCGCCTTATTCGGAAGATGGGGAACCCATTTTTGAACCAGAAAACATTCTCAATTTTCGAGATGTCCGTACTAGTCTGGAATTGTTCATGAAGCCCTGGTGAAATGGGCCTCTCTAGACCATAATGATGCCACTTGGGAACCAGTAGAGATAATAAAGAGTCAGTTTCCTAATTTTTACCTTGAGGACAAGGTTCGAGTTCGAGAAAGGGGCAATGATGAGGACAAGGCGGTAATTCAACGACGCAGCAAACGGACACGACAGAGGAACTCTAGGCTAAATAACTATATTACTTAAAGTCTCCATTCTTTTAATTAATTACTTTTTAGTTTCCTAGTAGTATTAATATTCCTAGTTTCCTAATTTCCCTTAGCTAGTTGAACACCAGCAGGACTTAGTTTCCTAGTCCATCTTGTTCTGTTGTTGGGTTATATATATAACCATTCATTAATTAATAAAGATAGCATATAATTTTTCAGCTTATTCAGGCTTGGTCTTCTATCACCGTGAGATAGAATCGGTCCATTTACGCCGTGAGTAAAGGCATAATTTTTCTTGCGTTTCAGCAGCCTCTTCCCAGGATTCTCATCAGAAACCTTTAAATGAGAGGTCCCAAAAAAGAAAATGAGAGCTATAAAATGATAGAAAGTACGTATATGGTTGGGAAAGTTTTCATAGGTTGGTCATCAATGAATGTTGGACAATTTTCTTATATATTTATCTTTTTTTAAATGGATTTTTTTCCATAGCTTTTCAAAGCAATGTTGAATTATATTAATAATATTGATAAAACATATACTCAATACTTTATAAAATTTATGCCGGTGCATCACACGGGTACGATACTAGTTTAGATTAAAACGTTTTGAACCATATACTTGATTACAAGTATACAACTGAGATTGAAAAGAAGTGACTCACCTGATTCTAAGTCAAATCTTTGAAATTCATATGAGTTCACATTTTTTTTGCTAGAAAAACAGGGGTCTTTAGATAAACATTTCTTGATGTACCAAATAAGCTTAGGTAGCTCGTTCCTACTGTTTCTTATTACTTCCCTTTTGCTTTATGGAAACATACACACGCGTGATTTTTGCAAGTGTTATTCTATTAAGCAATAAACAACATTACATCAACCGCAAATATTTCCTTCTCCATTCTTATTTTAATTTTTAAATATATCTCCATGGAAATTGAAGGGGAGATTTTGTGACTATGTGAGTTGAAAAAATATGTTTGTAAGCACTTTCTTATATACACTTTATACATATCTCTGTTAGAAGATTACTTTTTTGTATACAAATCCCATTCACAAATGAAAGATGTTGGTGCGTATATTCACACACATGTTTTGTCTTTGAATCTCATTTACAGACAAAAAGCAGCCTTCTCATAGAGGTGTATATATGGTGAGTACAAGAAAGTGTGTACAAGAAGAATGATTGAAGTATGAGTTTATACCGAAACTGTATGTAGGGGAATTGAAGGGAAAATTGAAATTAATCAAAAAGAAGTCTTGCAAGCCATAAAGCTTGTGATTTATGATGGATCTCAAGTTCTATCTAAATAGTCATCAAGTATCTTGGCATGTAGTGAATATAGAGAGCCAAAGAGACAACACCCACCCAAATATCTAAAAGGAACATCCACTAAAACTAATGTACAAATTAAAGACAATTGTGATCAAGCTAATTAGTGACTGTATTGGTCTGGCCTTTTCACCTCTTTGTAATGCATTTGTGGGCAGTAAGAAATCCATTAGGAGGACCTGTCATCTCAACTTGGCATCTCCCATGCAACCAATAAGAATAGTGAACCGGACCCATATTCACCCTCACCTTGAAAACCGCCTTGATATTGAACACCACTCTGTTGTTCATCACCTGCCTTTGGAGCCCTAAGGCATGGTTTGGTGGCAGATAAACCAAGCTTGATATCAGATTAACTTGCACCATTTTCACTTCCCCTTTCCCCCCACTAAAGGGTTCAATAAACTGAGTTGCTATCAAACTGTCATAAAAGTACAGCTCTATTTCGAGACTCTCATACCTGACGTTCAGGCTCCTGTTTGGGTTAGTAAAGTTGGCAAGAAACGAGATCTCCCCATTCAGAAACTGAAGAGAGTTTATGTAGACAAAATTCAGGGTTCCTGCAGGCGTGTCAAAAACTGGGGTTCTTGGTTTGATTGAAAGGAAAATGACCAAAGTAACCACCCCGGAGAAGATCAAAAGTAAGCTAAAGATCAAACAAAAGATTGCAAGACACCATACTAGTGGGTTGGTCCTGTTGCAAGATTTAATGCGTATAATAGGGTATTCATCTGCTGGTTTCTTACTGACCTTGTTGTTCTTGTATGGGGTTTGCAGCCTGTTTCCTGGTGATGGGGTTTGCTTAAAGGAAGGTGGCAACTTTATTCCTGGCGGTGGTGGGGGGAGCATAAGCCTGGGAGAAGAGTGTTCCTCAGGGGAAAAGAAGCTAAAGCTCTCTGAAGAAGTCATGCTCACTACTCACTAAGTATGCATTATTGATGGAGGAATTGAAGAAGATGAATCTTATACTAGTATTACATGTAAAGCTAGCTAGAGTTATTGCGCAATGTCACAGTCGGGCTATAATAATTTGGTAAAGTGGGATGAATTATGATTATGAGATGTGTGGTTTTCATTTCGAATTCTAACTCTCTGATGTATATTATGGGCAACACTAAAAGACGGGCAAGTGGCCCTGCAAAGGGCTTCCTTTTGCGGAGCCTTTTGTCGTCGTTATATACTTTCTTGAAGTTGTAACATTTAGTTCTTTGACCTGTGGATCTAGTGTTTTATAATCATAATAATGCACCCAATGCTTTCCTACCAAACACACTACAGAGTCTTGCAAAATGTAAAGACTTTTTCGGGGGGGGGGGGGGGGGGGGGGGGGGGGGGGGGGCGGGTTTGCCACCCAATGTTGCAAAATGTGTGTCGCGATTAATAAGCTCGAATATAAATGTTAATACCGCACACTCTAAACTTCATACGTGCTCTTGCGTGCTGTTACCCCCTTCCTAGTGCATCACACGCCGACCTCGGGGGACGTGTCACCCGCTCAAAGTCTTCACTTGCGGGTTCGAACTACTAATCTCGGGCAGCGAGTTAAACTCTTTTTAGAGGCCTAGAGCCACTCTCTTTCAATCAATTTTATCACTTAATTGGCATTCACATTTCCCGGAAAGGCTGACACACTTTAGTTCTTTGGAGGTTGGATTATCCGTTCGAAGCATCGCTCGCGGATCCAATCTTTCTTTCGGAGGCTGAGTTGAGGCATAACTCGAGAACTTGATGCCACTCTTTTCTACACTCATTGCTTTTATGTGTAGGTACGACTGAACGAAGACGACTCTACTCCACTCGCCTCAAGGAGCAGGGCACTGGGGGATTTACCGTCTTCAAGGAAGCAAAGGGAGAGCCAGACGAGTCCGAGCCCGACGAGAAGAACGGTTCTAGCCATCTTCTTCGCAGATGGTGACTATTGCAATAAAGGTTGAGGATCTCACCTCTTGCTTCCTCTTGGGGGTGTCAAGTGTACTCTTTTTTCCTTCATTAGGATTTTTTTTCCCATTGGGCTTTTTTCTAATGAAGGTTTTTAATGAGACATCTCCCCGACATGGACAAGAGCAGAGATCTTCTGGTCTTGAGAAGAGCAACTCACTTGGACTACTCTCTCTTAGTCGAGTCCACTACTCGACTAAGGGAGTGGGGGACTTGTGATGGAGTTATGGAACTAGGCTCAGAGCCTAATCGACCCAAGTCACAACCTGGAGCCTGCCTACCAGCCCAGCGGGGAGCCTGCTAGTCCGGTCGACCTGCCAGCCAGGAAGAGTAACGGTCAAGCAAATAATGTGTTATTTAATTATGTATTTATTCAATTCCGTGTTAATGTTGAACGTAGTAATTAATTAGTCATTATTATTGGTAGCGGTTACGATTTGTATACGCCTATAAAAGGCGGGTTGTAATTCAAATTAGGGGAAGCGATTTCTATACGCTATTCTTGGAAACTAAAACCTCTTACCCACTTTGCTTATTCATATTACTTTCCTAATTCCTGCTGTAGTGTTCTTACTTAGCTTTCCTAAAAACCTACGAGCGTTCTATTTTGGACCAATAAACCCTGTTTCAAAAATGTTGGTAGTTAGATTTGGGTAGTGTCGATCGACTACGTACACCATGGAACTGTAAAGGGCTATATATGTATCTCTGTCAGGTGATATATATACATATAAAGGATAGTTCATATGAGAAACTTCTAACCAGAAATGTCGTGCGAAATTCGCCATTTGAGATGCTTTCCGATAGAATTTTTTATAAAGTTTTATGAGAATGTTCTCCATGAAGAATAGATTATATACATCAACTTCAAATTCATATCGAAAATTCAGTTAAATAAATTATTAAAAAACATTGCGCCTTTTATACATACAAAAGGCGTAGTGCTTTTGAAGAACTTATTTAACTGGCTTTTAACTGAGTTTTAGACTGAAATTTGGTAAAAATAATCTACAATGTATGAAAAACATGCTCACGAAATTTTATTAAAAAATCTGATCATAAAGCACCTCAAAATGGAGAAATCTTGGGAGCGGTTCAAGTCGGTTATTGAGAGCCTCATATCTTTATATAATATAAAGGAATTGGGTGGACAATTGGATTTCTCCAATTATTCCCGCGTATTCCCGCATTGAATCATTCCTCAAGTCATAACATTAAATTAAGTTATCTTTATATAATACGAAGTATAAAGGAATTGGGTGGACAAATGGATTTCTCCAATTATTCACGCCTATTTCCGCATTAAATCATTTTTCAAGTCATAACATTAAATTAAGTTATTTATTATATATGGTAAGCAATGCATAATACTAAAGGAGATGCTTGAATGTGAGATGCATGCTTGACCAACGCATTAGACCTAAATGATCGAGGTACAATAACTTTTTTTACTGAAATTGAGCTACAATAATTTAGTATATTAATTTTATAATAATTTAATCAAAATAGGCATACAATTCAATCCGCAACAAGAAAATTGACTTTTTGGGATGAACAATTTTCGACCAACGTTAAATTTACTTGAATTATAATGAAGATATGCGTTTTATGGACCATATATATTGTCGTACCATATAATATTCAAAAAAATTATTGACTATTTGAGTTCAGTTTGACCTTATTCAATTTCTCACGGTCTCAATTAGTTTTAGTTTGATTTAATTTGATTTGAACGACATACCACTAAATTCAAACGAAATTGCGTATGATTTGATTTCGGTTCAATTTGGTACAATTTGGTTTACTCAAACCGAACCGGTTTGCTGAACCCCTAAAAAACACTCATGAATGCTCATTCTCTCATAAGATAAAAACTAATGTAAATTTTATTAACCTTTTTCTTTATGTATCCATTTTTTTTATCAAATTTGAGTTTTTGCGACTTTACAAGACTTTTAATGTAATTTTTGAATATATAAATTTTATTTGCTAAAAACAATTTCATTATTAACAAGGATCACTTAAGATTATGACCTGTCAAATATCGTTAACGCAACTGAGACGTTACCCGGACCGAAGGTAGTATACAATATTCATTCAATCTCTTTTAAATTTGAATAATGTGAGTTGATTTTTCCCATGCAACGCACGGGTTCATTGTCTAGTATAACATGACACTATATACTTCGTATATACGAAGTGTATACCTACTAGTACTCTGTATGATATACATCTACCAACATGATACTGTGTTAGAACTGGGGAGTTGGGAAACTGTTTTAGAAAATCTGGCGGATTTCTCAGAGTATCGTGTGATCACTTTCCGAATCTAATATTTCGACCCTATGCCTGGGTTACACGAAATTTAGATTATGGGGATAATCACTCTGAGAGACAGTCTAAAACTGAGGCACCAATATATAGACCACGAACTAGCAGTTTTAGTAGAACTCGAATTCTTCTGATTACCAAAGAGATAAGGCCAATCGGTTAGAGTTTTACTCTAACAGAAAGTCATTCTATTAAATAATTAATATGGACCCCGCCAGGGGCGCTGCCCCTTGGACCCCGCAAGGGGGCTGCGCCCCCTTGACCCCCGCTATTTAATCGAACCAAGTTTAAATTTAATTTCGTACAAGTGTGCGCTCCGCACCTCCTAACTTGTCTAAAATTAAACTTGAACTCCATTGGTAATCTGTAAATTCCATTACACTAAAATGAACCTGGTGATACTAAAATCACCAACATACTGATCGATATGTATTGTATACATAGGATGCTACTCCCTCCGTCCCATTTTACCATTCTTACTTTCTTTTTTGGTTGTCTCAAAATAAGTGTCATATTTTCCCCTTTGAAAAGAAATATGTAGTTTACAACATTTCACTTTATTATTCTCAAATCTAAACAACAACTTTTATCTTTTGAATCAGTTTATTAAAAATTGTGTCAAACCAAATGAGACACTAGGATGGAGGTAGTATTTATTAATTTGGAGCCGGGCAAACAACTTTTGTTATCAAGTGTTGCTGCTTTTCATTTATGTTGATAGTTTGATACTTAACCAGTAAGTAAGTACTTGTAGTCGAAAACCTCAAAACCATTTCTTTGATATCACGCCTTAAACAACAAATTACTTCGGCCGAAATCTCCTACGCTTTGACTGTGAAATTATGTACGGAATTTAATTTATTTACTGTATTAGATTTGGTATAATATACTTTTCAAATTGAGAAAATTTTCTCGTTTCCCATGACTTACTAGACCTTTCTCAAAAGAGTTTATTCTTGACATCTCGTAACATTGTTCTCACTTATGATTTTGAAATGTCTCAAAAATACGTTCTCGTTTTCCTTTTGGAAAATTTTGTGTAGCTAAAGTTCATTTATCTTTTTTAATCAATCATAATCATATATTTTTATTTTTTTCTCACTTTCTTAAACATTTATTCAACTCAAATTGAGAAGAACTTTGTGAGAAGGAGAGAGTGTGTTTGATTATGTTTAAAGAATATATTTAATAAATACTACTTCCTCCGTCCCGCTAACAGTGGGACAAGAGGGAGTGACACACAAATCAATAAAAAGTTGATTTATGTAGTTGTTATTGAATTGATAAAGTAAGAATAATTTAGAGCCACACAAACTTTGCCAAATTTGGTATGAGACAATCTTAGTGGGACGGACCGATAAGGTAAAACGGGACAATCATAGCGGGACGGAGGTAGTAGTAAATAATTGGCATGGCAAAAGTACATAAAATATACATGTTGTTGGCCCCATTTTCAAATAGAGGCATGCTTTTCATTTCTTGATGACATCTGTATCAATTACTTTATCACAAACGGGCCCGGGTGCCTAACGCCATTATAAAACGCCAGAGGTAGACAATGAATAGTAACTCCCATTTTCAACGTGACCAAAAAAATATAAGAAAGTATTGGGGGGTTTGCATCGTCAAGGTGATCTCCAAATCATCTTCTTTTTTTTATTTTTCAGATCTACTTTGGATTATTCTTTAAAACATGAATTCGCTAATATCACTTTTTTCAGGAGACTTTCCAGCAACAAGGGTGACTGAAAACAAAAAAGAAAGATGGTTTGAAGGTCACCTAGCTTGATGAGGCGCACCTTCCAGTAATTTTCTTTGAAATTTTTGAGTACCTTTGAAAACTGGAGTTACTATTTATCTTCTACCTAGATCGATTTCTAACGATGTTAGGAGTCGAGGCCCCTCCTATGATAACGAAATTGAAATACATGACCTACTTTAATATGTTAAGAAATGAAACATATACATCAATCTAAAAACGGA